AAGCAGCCCCACGTGAGATCTGGGTGTGGGGGGAAGCAGCCCCATGTGAGATCTGGGTGTGGGGGGAAGCAGCCCCACGTGAGATCTGGGTGGTGGTCCATCAGCTGGGTGGGGACTGCCTCAGTACGGGGGTGATCAGAAATGAGAGATGGGAGATGCTCATTGGAAACCTGAATAGGTAGATGGAAATGCTTCATTTCTATTCAGATTATTTCTCCAAGTTTATCTCTATCCCAGACTTATCTTCCGAGTTTCAGACTAATATATCCACTCTCAGGTAGAAACATTTATTCTAATATTCTCCAGGAAACTCAGTGAACATGTCCACAACTCAAATCATTGCCCCTGAACCATCCATTAAAACATTTTCTCCAACATTTTTCCTTAACCTGGCAAATGCTCATCAGCTGAAACAGTCGATTTTCTGCATCAATTTGACAGGGCTGCCGGCTGCTCAGATACTGGTCAGATGTTATTCTGAATGTGTCCATGAGGGTGTTCTGGGACAGGACAGACGTCTAAGTAGGCGAATGGAGTCAAGCAGATGCCATCTCCAGTGTGGGTGGGCCTCACCCAATCAGTCAAAGGCCGGAACAGAACAGAAAAGCCGAGAAGGACCCCTTCCTGCCGGGCTGCCTTGAGCTCAGTCAGCAGTCTTTTTCTGCCTTTGGACTCAACCGGAAACACCAGATCTTCCTGGGTTTTGAGCCTTCCAGCTTTCAAACTATACCAGAGCTCTCCTGGTTTTCAGGCTTTTGGACTCAGACTAGAACTTCCACTGTGGGCCCTCCTGGGACTTCAGCCTGCCAACCGCACAGATCTTTGGACATGTCTGCCTCCAGAGTTGTACGAACCAATTCCTTATAGAATCTCTGTGTGTTTGTGTGATGTGTGTGTGCATAATTGTATATGTGTATGCATATGTGTGTGTATGGATACATATATAGAGATGCACATCCTATTGATTTTGTTTCTCTGGCAAACCCTGACTAATACACCAGCTAAAGAGGAAATAATATTGTCTAGGGAGAAGGTAGAGTTAATAAAAAAGACTCATATAAGCTATAGGGTATCTCCACATTGGAAATAAACCATAGTGCAACCCAAGAAATAGAAATGAGAGCAGAAATTGACCACAGATCAAGTAGGCTAGAACTATGGCAGAACTCCCCCTGGGCACACAGCCACCTGGCTGGGGATGGAGACCACATTTCCCAGCTCCCATGCTGCCAAGAGCAGCCACGGGCTAAGTTCAGATCAATGGCGTATGAAGGAATTGACGAAATCCCAGGGAATCTCCATAAAGATGAAGCCATCATCCTAGACTTCTTCCTTTTCTGTTTTCTGAAGGCCGAAAACCCAATTTGAAAATGACCCAGTTTTAACTCTGCAAACAAGAACCACACCTTAAAAGACAGTGGAGGAAGAAGATGAGGGAACCCCAGTCGCTGGATGACCTGGTGGAGCAGAGCCTCCATGCCAGCCTGGACTGTCAGCTCTGGGCCAGATTCTGGGAGGGAGGCTAGTATCTCTCCTGTTTAAGTCCCAATATTTTGAAGTCTCTTTTCTCCAGCGTTTGGCTTGTACTGAACTGAAACAGACATGGAAACACACACAAACAGCAACATAGGCAGACGGCCGTTCGCTCAACTAGAACAGAAGTCTGCCTGCTGTGCTCTCTCCTGTAGCCCCATAGAACGGGCCAGGAGCTGGCATGAGGAGGACTCAGAACTATGTGTGGAATGAATGGATAGTGGAAGAAATGCAGACTGGCACTAGAAGGGCAGTGAGGACATGGGAAAAGAGTCTATAGTTACATCTCTTTACAAGAACTTGCTGTACAGAGAAGGGAGTAACTAAGGAACTAGGGTCTGGGTGCCGTGTAATGCACATGTGTGTACGTGGGTGACACAGGAAATGCTAGGGCATATTTCCACAAAAATAAACAATCCAACAAGAGAAAGGAGTGCCATACAAAATAGAGTGTTGTAAATTTCCTGAGTTGTGTAGCAGGCGAGGTACTTTCTTCATATCACCAGAAGGGAAGAGGAGGAGGATGGGTGGGTGTACAGGAAAACCTGTTGGGTCACAGGTAGGAATTTTAGGATGTATCTAAGTGATGACTCTTAAAAAAAATTCTGTCTAGTGGGAAGCAAGGTCAACCCCTGGAGAGAATGCTGGCCAGCAGAGGTCAGGCCAAGGTAAATGGAGAAGGTTGAAAATAGGCATCGTGGAGAGAGAGAGCAAAGTGAGTACAGGGTTCTGGTCAGAATAAAGAGAAGCTCTCAGAGGCTGATGAGGTTGGGCATCATGCATTTTTATAGTAACAATCTTCCCAGTGTGTGTCTTTCCCAGGAACTGTCAGGGTTTAGACAGACATGAAGAACAGGAAATGTTTGGCTTCTTCTGGGGCTGTGATTTTTCCCCAATGATAAAAATTAAAAGGCTGAAGGGCAACTTCTATTGAATGTTGCAATAAAGTAGTTACTGACTCTGTTGGAGAGGGAAGAAACGGCTGACAGGAAGGCTGGTGGATGTGGTGGTGAACTCATCAGAGGGCCGGAGGTTCCGACAGGACAGGCACCTGCACTGTGGCTTCTTAACCAGCCCGGTGGGAGGACAAGAAATGGAGGCAACAGAATGTGCTCAACGACTTTGTCAATTACAAGTGATTAAGTTTCCAGGATGTAGGAAGTAGAAAAGTTCCTCTTCAAAGTGTCCTTTCTTGTTAAAGAATAATCGTAAGTGTTAGAAATAATAGTTTGTTTTAAATACTTTCTTCAAAGCCTTTTTGCTTTTTGCTAGTAGCTTTTTGTTAAGCCATATCCTATGTAGCTGTTAGACACGCTTACAGGCACGTAACACATTCTGTGTCCTTGTACTTTAACCAAGATACTGGTGCTAGATGTGCTCACAGCCTATGCCCCTTCCTTATTTAGACCTCCTTTTTGTTCTCTATTGCTTTTACCTGTTTAGAAAAATTTGAAGTTGTTAGACAATCAAGTTTTAGTTTAGATTGTTAAGTCTGGCTCCAACCAACAAAGATCAGACACAGCAGTAAGGACAACCCCAAATGCATAAAGGATAAATATGTCTGCTTTTCCTTTGCTCATTGTACTGTCATAGCAAGATAGGTGAGGGTACTCTTTCGGCAAGAAGTAAAGATTGCCTTGCTGAGAGATGCTTTGTCCCAGTGCTGACTTTTCCTTGCAGCACTGAAAATTTACATGTAACACAGGATGACAAAGTTTAGAATAGATGGCTAATTTGGAGCTTTGTCCCAGTGCTGACTTTTCCTTGCAGCACTGAAAATTTACATGTAACACGGGATGACAAAGTTTAGAATAGATGGCTAATTTGGAGTAGGAAAAAAACATCTCTAGAGATGAGAAGGTAGCAGAATGGAGAGGTCAGGTGGTCAGATGTGATTTTCAGATGGATGTGGAAGACACCAAGTGGATAGCAGGCATGGTAATGGTGAGGAAGACTGGCGTGGATTCCAACGACCCCTCTGAGTGCACCATAGTAACAGATGGAGTTGGTGACTCCTAAGAGTACAGGAGAGGTGGTATTGTCAGATTGCATGAGATTTAAAGAAGCAAATTTTTGTCCAGCTAATAGGCTGTGGTCAGAAAGCTCCCTGAAGAGCAAGGATGACATTGACCAAGCATGTGGCACTCAGGTCTCAGGGGCAAAAAGAGAGCAAATTGCCTCCATTTGAGAGGATCACAGAGGAAGTGGGTTCTCAGGAGCCATCAGATTCCACTTAAGGAAAGCGGGAGGAATCTTGAGAGAAGACTTCAAGGGAATGGCTGACCAAAGAGGTGGGATGGCCAGCAGGCCAGTGCTTGGGAGTAGAGAGACAGGCCATGAATGTGTGGAAGGAAGTTGTCCCTTGAGCGGTGACCAGGACAAAAGGGGAGGCCAGCTTGGTGGACTTCACTCTGCTTGTCTTGCAGGAGACTGCCAGGCCAGGGACACTCTCCCTTGGGTTCATAAATGAGTCAGATGGCTGGGACTCCATCTTCTCTCCCTGAGGAACTAGTTGATAAAGACACCCTAGTGCATTTTCCTGAACAGACTGTTGATGTTAACAAGGTCAGTCTGATACGGCTGATTCTTTATCAGTCCATCACTGTTTCTTTTGTAGACACACATCAGCTGTCGGTTTAACCAATTCTTGCTGAAAATGGATTATTACCGAGAATGACCATCAAGTCCATGGCTTTGGGATGTGCAGAAGATATTGAATGCTGGCTTTTCAAGCTGGTGCCTCATTCAGCCATCTATAGTCTTCTGACATTTTTACAGTTTGCAAAGTCATAGATTAAAATACACAACTAATCAATAAGGAGACTTGCCTAAGGCCAGGGGACTGGAACCACAGGGAGAGCAAAGAGATGTTTCACGTTTGTAGGTTCTACTTTGTCTTTATGATTGTGGCACTGTGTGTTCCCAAAACAGGAATGCTGGGAGGCCTGGAATAGGTTTTCTGAGTCCTGGCTCTGCCACGGGCTAGCTCTGTGACCCTGAGAAGCCCACGAGGATCTGAGAGCTGTCATTTCTTCATCTTATGAGTGGAAGTAAGTCCCGACGCTGCTTACCTTATGGGTTGCTGTGGCTATTCAGATGTGTTGTACATGAAACACTGCATGAGTCCACGTTTACACTAGGCACTAAATCATTACTGGTATTTTATTGTTCAAGGTATAATGTAAGACAACATCTATACTAACCTTAACATTTAAACATTTATTTTACCTAAAAGCTGATGATTTCTGATGCTATAGTTAGATGCTCTTTCCTTTTATCCTGGTGTGTTTGCTTTTCACCTTTTCATGTGTCCTTTTCAAAACTATCCCTAGGAAGCAGCTGGTGTGATTATATTGGGTTTGTTAGAAAGTAATGTCTTCATCTTCCTTTCCATTAGGACTGCGTAAAATCGCATCACTTGAAGTGTGTGCTAAGAATGTCCCTAATCCCTTGTGGGATATTTCTCCTTCTGAGTCTCATGTTTGGTGATTCCTGCTTTATAAAACCCATCTCCCTGAAAGCTTGGGACACATTTAACTCCACGTCCCTCTCTTCCTTGATGCGATTCTGTTTCCTTCAGCTCTTCGTCTGCCTTCCTCCTGGCAATACGCCTCTCTAATTTCCTTTCTTAGAGGCTTCCACTCCAGGGTTCAAGGATTTTCCTGCAACTGCATGCCTTCTTTTAGAGAAGAGGGCAGGTGTGTGCACACAGCATAATTGGGTCTTTGGGTCTAATTCTCCAATATATCTGTCCCTTTTGAATTGAGCTAACTTTTCAGTAATTTTTTAGCCATAATGTTCATCTACCAAGCAATACAGGTGAAGTCATGTTTATCACCTATAATTTTATTACCTGCAGAATGCTTATTCATATATGGATGTCAATGGCTACATGTATTGATTAAAACTCCCTTCCCAATTACGTTACTAAGGAAACAGCTAGACACATTTCAAATGTTAATCACCTTTTGTTACACCTGAGTCACATTAGCAATAACTTTCTGCACGAGAGAAGTACTCGCTTTGTTTGGATTGGAATTCTGTCTCGTACACAGGGTTCAATTAACATTAGCTGAGACTATTTCTTAAGTCAAAGAAGATGCATATCCTCTTCATTATTAAGCCTAGAATGTGATTTTCTCAGGTTGCCACATTAATCAGAGAGAGACACTGTGTAGTTTATGATCAAAACTAAGGCAGCTCAACAGCGTTACATCTTAAGAGGCTGACATAGGAGAAATGTCATTTCCTTTTTAGTCTGCGTCATTAAAAAGATCTTTTTTTCTTTTGAAGTCTTTCTCTTGGTTGCTCGACATTTCTTCACAGAAAGAATATGAAGGAAATCAGTGATACATAGCATGTGAAATCAAAGCAGCAGCAGGATTTTGTTTAGAGGAATGCACAGCTGCATTGACTGTGATTACAATTCAGAAAAGCTGCAGCTGCCAATTTCCTTTCTGCAATTCAATTAACCTTATATGTACCTTTCAACTTTAAGGGATGTTTTTTCCACTCAAGGAAAAAACAAAAGGAGAATGGGAGAAATTATAGAACTATGAAATGGGACTTACAAAGAAGTAGAATAGTTTGCCTATTCTTCTCAGGTAACATATTTTATGGACAATTTCAATTCTTCCTGCTGCTGTCTTCAGAAGAGCTTAAATATAATTCTGGATATTATTTTCATTTTACAAGAAGATATTGGCTCACACTTCTCAGAGAGCTGAGGAGCTGGAATTTGACTTAGTATAACCGAGGTAAGAGTTACATCTGGAAAAGAACAATTCTTCCCGTGAATTAGGACAAGTTCAACTACATCCTAAATCACAGTGATCTTAAGTACTACTCCTCATGCTTGTAAGAGATTTTAAAATAAAACAGCAATCTGTGTACAGTACGTAGCCAAGGTGATCCAAGGTCAGTGTCTCCTCCTAGGTGCACCTGCAGGGAGTTAGCATTCACCGCCCACACGCCTGGCCCAACAAGAGCTGACCAGGCATGCACACGCTACTGACGAAATGCAGCCTGGTTTGCTGCAGGGCATCTGTTTTCTAAAACACATTTGTCACTGATAGACCTAGTGACCGACTAGGTGTGAATACGATGTAAAAGTTGCATTGGTCATAAGCCAATTTATCTGATGCACTAACATTTTAAGTCACCATGTAATAGCAGGTCTGTGCTGTAACACAAAGAACTGTGGCACAGGTGAGCACAGCAAGACACCGAGAACACGCTTGCCTGTCCACTGGCCCCATGTTTCTTCTGCTGGTCCTGTCTGGCCGTGTGTTTGGCTTTGAAAGTGTCCAGGATCTGGATCTTCATGCAAAAGAAACAAGCATGGGATGGTGACCTGGAACACTTCTCGCCGGCATCACTGCGTTTTCGCAAAGCCTGCAACTGATCCATCTCCGATCTGCGCTCCGAGGCTCAGCCCTCTGATCTTTCCTTACCTCTCCTTTCCCTAGGCTGCCTTCCTCTTTTTCCTTATTAAAGTTCTGTACGTACTGCAGCATATTCCATTTATTGGGAATGGAATATATTTCTTCTATGCCAGGATTCAAAATTGGGATTGTTATTGTAGTTTGTGCTCCGGTTACAGAATTTCTAAGGTTTGAGTGTTCTATCCCAGCACCATATTTTCTCAAAGCCTTGCTCTCTGCAGTGGGCAATTTTGCACAAAGCAATTTTCTCAGGCATATTCTTCTGAGCTCCAGGTCTCCACATCCAACATCTACTCAACAATTTATTCTGAGATGTTCACCTCAAACATGTCAGAATCAACATGTCAACATGCCAATACCTCCTGCAGGATTTCCTAACTCCACAGATGGTATCTGTCTAATTGTGCAAGCCAAGAACAAGGCACCAGCTGGGACATTTCCTGTATCCAGTCTATCATCACGTCCAGTTAATTTTACAAGTAGTGTTTCTCCAATGTGTCCGTTTCTCTTTGTCTCTGCTGCCACCTTCATCTCATACCAGGATCACTGCGGCAGCCTCACCAGGATCACTGCAGCAGCCTCCCCCCAGGCCACAGTAGTCTATGAAACACTAATCTGAGCAGATCACCACCTTCTGCACAAACCCTTAGGAAACTAGAAGAAAACTCCCTCGACCTCGTAAAGGCTATATTAACAAAACATCCAGTAAACATCACACTCAATGGAGAAACTTTAACACCAGGAGCAAAGATGCCCATTAATATCACAACTGCTTAGCATGGTACTAAATATTCTTACAGACAAAAAAGAATCAAGAAGGAAGGAGTCAGAAAACAAAAGAAATTCGTGGTGTAAGATTTGGAAGGAAGATAAAAAAATCCTTATTGGCAGATGGGCAGATGACACAGTCCTATACATAGGCACTCCAACAGAAGAGAGACTATTCAAACTAATGAGAGTTCAGTGATGTTGATGGATTTAAAGTGAGCTTAAAATTAATAGTAATTCTCTTTACCTACTGATGCAGACTGAATGTTGTGTCCCCCCAGTTCTTACGTTGAAATATAATCCCAAGTGTGATGGTATTTGGAGGGAGTTCTGGGAGGAGATTAGGTCGTGAGAGCAAAGCCCTCATGAATGGGATTATGAAAGAGACCTTATAAAAGAGACCCCAGAAAGACCCCTCACCCCTTCTACCATGTGAGGACTTGGCGAGAAGGCACCATCAATGAACCAGAGAGCAAGTGTTCACCAAACATTAGATCTGAAAGTCCTTCGCTCTTGGACTTCCAGCCTCCTGAACTGTGAAAAACAAATTTTTGTTGTTTATAAGCCACTCTGCTTATAGTTTTTCATTACAGCATCCCAAATGGACTAACACACCTGCAATAACCAATTCCAATTTTTATTAAACTTATGTGGTGAAATTTTATCAAATACCTCTCTGTACCAATTGGGGGACCACATGGTTCACATTATCAACAAGAGAAAATAGGCAACCCAAACCCAAAAAACAGGCAAGTAATAAAAACAGTTCACAGCAAGAGAAATTTAAATGACTGGCAAGTGTGTGAGGATTTCCTCAACTCAGTAAATGTAACCAGAAGAAATAAAGTGAGGAGATGCCGCTTCCAACCATCATATTTATAAAATGTAAAAGGCACCACAGAACCAAGAGTTGATGGGTGTGGGAAGATACAGGGCCTCCTGCAGTTCTTCTGGGAGCACCCCCTGCTGTGACTGCATGGAGAACACTCGTCATGAAGATGAAGGATGAGTATCATCAGTGGTCTTTCCATCCCATGCTGCACAGACTAGAGACCCCAGACCCCCACCCCCGACGACTGGATGAGTACCCAGGCACGGGGACAACTACTTAGGCCGGCTTTATGCACAGTACCCAGGGAGAAGTAAAGCCCTGTGCCTACTGCTTGTGCAACTGAAATATCACCCCGTTACTGTGTATCTTAAAGGATACATTCATATCCAAGAATAGAGAGAGAGTGCGATCAGGAGCAAAAGTAAAATAGTATTAAACAAGAAGAGTCTTGTTTTGAACAGTTGCACTGGAGTTCCTTGAATAGTAGTAACAAAACTCTGCATAGGAAGTTTTTGAAAAACATTAAAAGAGTAAAGTGTGGTCTTCAGATTAATTGGTGGGAGGGTGACAGCCATTGAAATGGATAAGTTCAATTTGGGAGTGAATATCACTCAAAATAGACCAAAGTCCAACATACCTATAATTGGTGTTCAGGAAGAAGAAAAGTACCCAGAAAGCTTGAGAGTAAGGGTTGATCAGGAAAGAGAGTTAACTTCGATTTGACACAGAAAAATCCCAACTCTCAAAAAGCTAAGCCACACCAAAGAAACTGCTTTATCTGGATGTTGGGAAGATTTAGGATGTTAAAAATAAGTTCAGTATAAACAGAAACTCTTTCTCCCTTGCAACTTCCATTCCTCCTGCCTTGGGTGGCTGGCAAAAGCTAAGAATGTAGAAGACATTCTGAGACGTTTCTGAGACCCTGAGAAGGGGCTTACGTGCCCACTAAGCGTTCCCGTCACCAGGCAGTGCACTCTGCTAAACAAGCCTTCACCAGCAGGCCTTTACTAGGACCATTTACGGTGACAATAAGTTACTTCCTCTGAAGTTTTATCACAATGGCTTCCTTCTCATACAGTTGAACTTGCTCACTTTCAAATGTAATTATGTTTTGAAATACATACTTCTGAAGTGAAGCCATCAATTTTCATAGGCAATGCATGATAAAATAAATGCATGGTACCGCAAACTGCAATTTATTAAGTTTGGTGGAGTCAGTGGAGCCAGTCATGTAGACAGCTGGGAGAAATCAGAAACAGAGGTGACATGGAGTGATATTCAAAGTAGAGAAACAAGGAAGAGGCATGAGCCAGAAGCTGTGAGCCTGCAGTGGGGTTCCGTACACATTGCCCTCAGCCAGGTACCATCGGCTTGTTTTAGCATGCCCCTTGTCTGGGCTGTGCCCCAGTTTCCTCCTCCTTAAAGCAGCACTGAAGTTCATCTCACCCCTGCTTCCCTCACTGCTTGTCATAAAGATATAACGAGATTATGATTGTGGGTGCTCATTAAGCTGGGCACATATGTGGCAAATCATTACTTTTATTAATGGAGGAATAAGAACAGTCCCATAAGTCAGAAATAAAGACACAATATATCCTTAAAAATAAACATATGGGCTGGGTGAGGTGGCCCACACCTGTCATCCCCACAATTTGGGCAGCCGGGGCAGGAGGACTGCTGATGCCCAGACACTGGAGGCCAGCCTGTGCCACATAGTGAGACCACATAAAAAAAAATAAACACACGACCAAAAAGAAAAAACTATCTGATGGCTTCGCTTTATCCTAATGTCAAATCACAATTATTCTTTACATCATCTTTTTTCTTCACGAAAGTCAGAATCTCATAGGAAATTGGTCAAGATCCTGACGTACAGGTGGGTTAACAGGATCAGTAAATGTCAAATAACAAATTACAAAGAAGGAAGGGATGAAATGAAGTCCTGGCACATTTCTCCTGGTTGTATTTCTTCTTTCTGGCCCAGACATCTCCTAGATTTACAGGTGCGTAAATGTCCCTTCTCGTCACCAGGACAGCTTTAACTACCGTCAAGAAGTATTTTTCAAATAAACACTTCAGTTTCTGTGTCTGAAGTGTTTATTTGACTCATCGGAACTGAGAACAAATTAGGGGTTGACAAGGTCCTATTGCGTGCAGAACAACTGTGACTTTCTAAATGGAAGAACATCTTTAAAACTTTAAAGAGGGTTTCAGTTTTCATGTATGCCATATTCTATTATCGAACCAGAAACTTCACTCCAAAGTACTATTCAAAATCCTGATGGAGTAAGAATTAAATTGCTGCAACTTAACTTTAATCCTGTGTACTTCTTCAGTTATCACACAATGTCTTTTTTCCCTGTCCTTACCAATCTCAAGGTTCACCATTGTAAATATAAGTGTATGTCAATTAGGAAAAACACAGGAAATCCCTTAACATCTGGAAGGTTCCATTCAATTTTGCTATTCTTATGAAAACTGATTTCAAATCTGGAATATTCAAAGTAACACTTGAGTCATGACCTCTACAGCATGCTTTAGCATGTGGTCCGTTATATCTGGCAGATCACCCTCACACACTGCTCTCGGCACCCTGATGTCCTCCCAGCACAGTGTACTTTGTTCTGAACTCTTCAGTATACTTTTTGTAGAATAATATGTACATATGCATGCATGAGAGTGTGTGTGTATGGGGGGGGTGTGGGGTGTGTGTGTATGGTATATGTTATATGAGTGTGTGTGTGGTGTGTGTGTGGGAGTGTGTGTGGGGTGTGTGTGTATGGTATGTGTTGTATGAGTGTGTGTGGGGGGGTGTGGGGTGTTTGTGGGGTGTGTGTGTATGGTATGTGTTGTGTGTGTGTGTGTGTGTGTGTGTGTGGTGTGTGGTGTTTGTGGGGGGTGTGTGTATGGTATGTGTTATATGAGTGTGTATGCATGTGTGGTGTGTCATGTGTGGTGTGTGTATGTGTGTTTGTATGGTGTGTCTGTGTCCGTGTCATCAAATACTGTATCTTTTGATTACATCCTGGAGGTGCATGTGTTATGCATCCTTCTCTTCTGGAATATGAAATAGGCATGTATTTCCCTATTCCTCCCACTAAGTACAGCTGAAAACCCTGACACTTCATGGAGAATGACCCTGCCAGACAGAGAGAAGGAGGCAGGATGGCTGAGGAGCTCAGGATTTGAGGAATAACATGGTGGAAAATTCCCTGGGTTTTCCTTTGCCTCATGTGTACTAGACCTGGAACCGAAGAAATCAGCAACCCAGAAATTCCAGCAGGCACAGACAAAATAAAATCCCAACAAAAGCCTGCTTTCTCTAGCCACAGGACCAGGGAAGAGGCAGAAAACTCTTAGACGATAACTGCTCTACTTCAGCCAAACAACACAGAAAAACCTTGGCCCCACCTTCACCCATGCCAGTAAGGGCTGTCTGGGTGGCCTAGAATTCCACCCTCATTAGTCTGTAAGGAGGTGCCCCAAATTCCCCACAGGGGTGGTGTCCACAAGGACACTGACCACTGCCCAAGGTAACTGGCCATAGCTCTTCTTGGGATTAGTGGAGGCCACACAGAGAGTGGGAACCTCTACCCTCAGCAAGCAAGAATAGCCCCACAACTTTCTTCATTGCAGTAATAGGGGGCACCCCCACTTCCTAGGTTGGAGTCATGTGAGTCCCAGTCTGTTAAAACAGAAAGCTTACATAAGGTCCAGAGTCTCATAACACAGTGCCCCAAAAGTCTAACTTTCAATTAAAAAAAAAAATCACTAGTTGCTCAAAGAACCAGGAAGATCTCAAACAGAAAAGAAAAAATAAACCAAACCAAGATGACAGAAATGTTAGATTTATCTGACAAAGATTTCAAAGCAGCCATGATAAAAATGCTTCAACAGGCAATCGCAGACCAGCCTGAAATCAATGAAGAAACAGAGCCTCCGCTAAAAAATGGGACATATAAAGAAGAACCAAATGGAAGTTTTAAAAGTGAAAAATACAAAACCAAAATGAAAAGTTCACAGGCAGGGCTTAATAGCTGAGTAGAGGAAACAGGAAAGCAAGCATGAAATGCAGGATGAAACAACAGACACTCTCACCTCAAAACCCAGAGGAAGAAGAGCAACATAAACCCACAGCAAGCATAAGAAAGGACATAAATAAATAAAAGGAAATGAAGAAAGAGAGATAGAGAGCAGAAATCCATAAAACTGAAAACAGAAACGACGGAAAACACCCATGAAACAATGAGCTGATTTAAAAAAATAAGACTAATAAAATTGACAAATCTCTGGCAAGACTGATTGAAAGAGAGAGAGAGAGGAGACACAAGTTCATAAATTACCAGTATCAGGAATGAAACCGAGAATCACTACAGATCCCGCAGACTTGGCAAGGATAACAAGGGTGCGCCATGAACGCCTCTACACACAGATTGTAGGGATGCATACCCTGCTGGTGGAGGCTGCCCAGGAGTAGCTGGGCCTGGGTAAAAGGTACACACAGCTTTCAAAAGAGGCTCAGGGTCACTGGAGGAGGAAATTCTGGCATCCCAGGTGCCTGGAGAATGTTCTTGGAGGGAGGGGTGCAAACTGTAGACAGGAACATCACCTGATTTTCACAGACTCGCATCCTGTGGTGAGGGCAAGGCCAGGGAAGGCAGAAGGAGCTCTCAAATGCTCAGGGTCAGGGTAGAGTCCCTCTGGTCCAGCTCTAAACACTGTGCTGAGTACAGATGCTTTTTTTCTTGTCATTGCCAATGAGGTAACACTCACCAATACAGAGGATGACTAAGGATCTGGAGCCAAGGGTTAACAGCCTTCAGGAAGGCTTAGCAAGCTTTGCAGCTATTCCTTTCATTATCTAACAAGTATTTGTGAGGGTTCTTGCTATAACTCAGCATCTGAGCCACGCATGCAGCATGGGGTTAGAAAGAGACGCAGGGATTGGCTGTGGCAGCCCAGGGAGAGTGGCGTGCACCTGCAGAACGGGTGCGAGTCTCTCATGCCACGAGGTCCCGTTCCCCCTTGATGTGCGATGTCCCACCGAGGCCCACAGGTAGGCTGTGTCCCTCGATGTCTGGAACACCCACTGAGCTCACAGGGTTCTGCCTTCCCAGCACCCTGCTCTAGATGCTGCCACACAGCACCTGAGAAGCTGCTGAAATGCAGCATCTACCCGAGCTTCCGCTTCGTTAGCGGCCTGTGCCTCACACCTCGCTCCTCTCTGCCCTGAACAGGGGCACGGGGAGAGCACCCCGCGAAGCTCTGGGTTCCTGACGGCTTCGTTAGAAATGAAGCCAAAAAGTGCAGGCGCAGGTCAGGAGAACAGGGTTATGTGACCCCTGGAAATGACACATCTGTCCCTGGAGGCGGCGTCTTTCTCCATGCTCCTTCCCAAGTTCAGTTTCTGACGAGCTTCCATCACCTCCTCCTCCCGGCCTCCTATGACTTCCCACCGCAGAGCTCTGCCCCAGGCCCCAGAATACATCTCACTTTCTCTCTTTTCAGAGCAGAGGAAGCCCAGCTCTAAGGGTGACTCACGGCCACTCAGATGTCTGTATCAGAAGACCGACGCCAGATCCACAGCTGGGCTTTCACACCTGAGGAGGTGGGAGGGGGTTTTGTTTTAATAAATTCATGCTTGATTAAATGAGCGAAAAGTAAATTAAGGAATTTTGAGGGAGGAGGAAGAGCAGATTGTCATGAACAGTTGGTGAGATATCTGTGCAGATAGACTGTGCAAAAAAATTGTAGGACACAGCTACTCATTTTTTCTCTGTCCTCTTTTTAAAGGACTGGTGCCTAGATATCTGGGTCACAGCCCTGGGGAGAAATACGAACACATTTACGCATGATGTGGAGAGAAAATAAAGGACAGAATCACCCAGGAGTGGTTGAAGAACAAACACAGACGCATGACTTATGTGTCCTGGAATCAAAACCACTCCTTGCCCCGTGCAGCCATGTATTCAGCTTTATTATTCTAGCAAGTGAAAAACACAAAGCTCAGCTTTGTGAAATATCTGGAGTGAGGCAGAGGAGGAGAGAAGTGTTGCCTGTGACGCCCTGGGGTCAGCACTGGCCACGTTATTTGCAGAGGTGACAGGGGTCATGGTGCAAAGCTCCCTCGTGGAGGAGGCGGACAGGCTTGTTAGTGTGTCCCTCACAGCCAGCGGTCACCACACCCTGTCACACCACCATCACCGAGTTCCAAGCCCCAGCGCTTCTCACCTTGGCTTCCACAATGGCCTCCCTGATCCCGCCTTTCCCTCTGGGTTCATGCCAAGAGCCCAGTTGACCTAGGCTTCTTCACACCCTGCTCCAACCACGTCCATCTCCCGGCCAGCCATCAGTGATGAATGATCCCTTCCTCTGACTTCAAACCTAATCCCAGACCACAGGGTATCAGGCAGGGTTACCCGCACATGCTGCAGGGGTGGGAAGAGGTGCGGTCAAGCGCTCTGTGCCACTGGGGTGAAACAGAACACATTCTCACCCATAGAGACAGCTTGAGTCGTTCTTGGGTGCTCATGAGAAACATAGAAAAGGCATCTGACTCAGAGCTGAGCCCTGGTGCTCTCGTTTCAGGTCCTGGGAAGAGACAGCTGTGAGATGGAGGCAGTAGGAGGTGACAGAAAATGGTTTATTTACTGGTTCCTTATGGCTGAATTGTATACCCAAAAAAAGATGTGTTGACGTCCGCACATCTGGAATGGAGAATGTGATGTGACCTCATTTGGAATTAGGGCATTTGCCAACATCAGCAAGTTAAGACGGGGCTGTTGGGGTGAGCCCTAACTATGCCTGACTGGCGTCCCTATGGGAGGAGAGACAGAGGGAGGAGAGACAGAGACACACAGAGGGAAGACAGCCACCCGGAGACAGACACACAGAGGGAAGACAGCCACCCGGAGACAGAGACACACAGAGGGAAGACAGCCACCCGGGGACAGAGACAC